TGCATGCCCACACATTATGAGAGAGTGTAAAATTGTGTATCAAAACAATGCCCTTCAGATTCATTCTCCGGAGCACCCCAGGATAGGAAAAGAACCAGTGGAGGAAAACTTTGCAGAAAGAGATCCATACTCAAAATAAGGAAGAATTTCTTACCATGAGAACAGTGGAACAGCCTGCTTCCTGGAGTCATAGAGGCACTATCACGGAGATTGTCAAGCTGAGCCATTTATCTGGGATGGTCTGAGGATAGGCAGGGTTGGGCTAGAAGATCTCCAAGGCCTCTTCCAACCCTCTGATTTTATGATTTCTTCAAAGGGGCCCTACCTGGCTCCCTGATGAGCTGGCCTTCTTTTATTTGGGAGACGAAGCTGAGTTTCTGCCTGTTGGGGCAATTCTGGCCTACCCCCCTTCCATCTCTGATAGCTCCAAATTATCGTTGAAACTGTTTGTGGCCTCATTTAGATACCCCCCTTGGATTTCCTTCTGTTTTGCTTAGACATCTTGGTTCAATCTCAGCTTTTGGCTCAGCTTCTCCATTTTTGTGGTACCAATAGAAGAGAATATCTGTAGCTCAGGATCCCCTCCAGCTCTACGATTCCGTGATCTTGTGACCAAGTTGTGGGCACGATGCTGTATAGGGATGTAGTGCCTGTGGCAGAATAAGAAATCAGTGATAAACTCCACAAATAGAGCAAAATCCAAAATCACATCCTGGTGACCCTGAGTTTCTCCTATACCACCTGCCTCTGCAGGGAGGCTGGACCCATGTGATTGGTCCGCCCCTGGCGCCTGATGGACCCGTCAGGGTTTCAGAAGATGCTGGGGGATATTCCCACGGATCTGCTGCATGGTCCAGTAGAGGCCTTGGCTGCTGCCTGGAATAGGGAAGCGGCTCGGACCTTGGACAGGATCGCGCCTGTGCGACCTCTCTTGCCACATCGGCCCTGACACTCCCCATGATTCCCGGAGGAGTTGAGGGTGCTGAAGAGGGTTAAGAGACGGCTAGAGCGCCGCTGGAGGAAAACAAAGACCGAATCTGACCAAACACAGGTTAGAGCCGCTTTCAAGGCCTACCTTGTGGCAATAAGAGCGGTGAAGCGCCTCTACTTCTCCGCCCTTATCGCGTCCGCAGAATGCCGCCTGGTGGCCCTGTTTAGGATCACTAGGTCCCTCCTTGGTAAGGGGGATGGGGGGGTGAATGCCGCCTGGTGGCCCTGTTTAGGATCACTAGGTCCCTCCTTGGTAAGGGGGATGGGGGGGTGAATGCCGCCTGGTGGCCCTGTTTAGGATCACTAGGTCCCTCCTTGGTAAGGGGGATGGGGGGGTTCATTTGCAGGGCCGTACAAAGGAATTTTCAGAGCATCTGCAGGACAAAGTCACTTGGATTCGTTCCAAGTTAGACTCCGAGCGTGGGGCAGGGTCTGGGGAGACACCAAGGGACTTTTCTTACCCAGTTATCTGGGAACGGTTTGATCCTGTTGCTCCTGAGGAAGTGGACAGGTTCCTGGGGACTATGAAGGCCACCGCTTGCCATCTTGACCCATGCCCCTCCTGGCTGGTGAAAGCAGCTTGGGGGGGTGACATGTGGTTGGATCCAGGTGATGGTTACTACATCCTTGCAGGAGGGGGTGTTTCCAGCTGCTTTTAAGGAGGCATTGGTGCACCCCCTCCTCAAGAAATCCTCCCTGGATCCTACTGTACTGGACAATTTTCATCCAGTCTCCCACCTCCTTTTGGGGAAGGTGGTTGAGGAAGTGGTGGCATCACAGCTCCAAAGGGTTCTGGAGGAAATGGATTATCTGGAGCCCTTCCAGTCAGGTTTCAGGCCCAGATATGGAACAGAAACGGCATTGGTCGCACTTATGGATAACCTCTGGTGGGAGCAGGATGGTGGAAGTGCGACCATCCTTGCTCTCCTTGATCTCTCAGCAGCTTTCGATACCGTTGAACACAGTATCCTCTGGATCTGCGACTTTGTCATCTTTGGTGCTGGATGGGGTAGCACTGCCCCAGACAACCCAGTGCGTAATTTGG